TTTCCCAGGGCAAAGTTTTTCAATATTTTTAAGTTGATATTTAAAACTCGATATTTTATTTTATACTTGTCACCCAGAAATAAACACAAAGCTAAATTAATAATTTAAACGTTTATTCGATAAATATACATTTTTATTATGAATATATTTGTTTTTTATTGTTACCGGTTTTTTTATACTATACTACATACATTTTGAATAAACCTACATAAGGAGTTATAACAAATGAACAAAATATCAAAAGTTGAAAAGTGTAGCAACATTTATCATTGGTGAAGCATTTCAGATGCCGTTTATTTTTAATTATTGTAGAAAAGAAATTTTTGTTGTGTAGTGAGAAGAAACAAATTTGTTCTCCATCTCAAAAGTCCCCCACCACACACAAGACGTCTAGAGTAGCAGTTTTAAAAACAATTTAAATGTATTGTATACTTGTATACACCAGGACATCCCTAGAAAGTTTTCAAGGGGGGAGGGGGAGTGAATCTATAAATTAAAATTTTGATCATTATTATTTTATTGACAATGAAAGTAATTTTACACAATACAAATTGTTATGTGGGGAGGGGCTTATGCTCCTTCATCGCCCCCATTGGGAATGAGCCCGGTAAGTAATTTTATGATAAGTTATCTCTTTTAGGATATCGTTTAACTAAAGTTTGTTGATCATTATCCAAAAACAACTGGCCAATCTTAATATTAATAACGGTAGTACGAAAAATTATATAAGATTAATTTTTCATTTATATAAAAATTAACCTTGAGAATATTTTATTTGTGTTACGTATTATTCCAATGTTCCACTCCTATGATAAATAATATATTATACAAAAATGATAGATTGAATTACAGACATAATGAAATACCTTGAAATGTTTCGATTCGTCTTATACACAAAAAAAAATGTTGTCCAATAATTACATCATCTAGCTTTAAAGATACATATTATAGTATACAGGGTGTAACGAAAATCTCTGGCAAATAAAAATATTAATTGGTAACTAGTTAAACGTACAACAAAAACTTCAAGAATGATAAATTATTTGAGAAATTTATCTTGCACAATAAAGTTTTTATGTTTCAAGTTATTTTACTAAAAAAAATAATATTGATATTTTCCAAAAAAAAAATGTAAAACATTGAAAGTTATTTTATTTTTGGTATTTAAAAAAATAAGTTATACTGTACTTATAATGAAAGCGTCTGTAAGTTATTAATAAAAAAATACATATATTTAAATATTGGCTGGAACAAAAGTTATTTCATTTGCCAAATTTTTTTGTCACACTCTGTAAAAAATATTTTTACCTTTCAAGCACCTACGTCTATCTACAATGTTTTTCTTGTTTAAGTCCATTTTTTATTTTTTTGGTATGCTTAATAACCATCGATGTGTGGAAGAAAATAATCAATTAGGTTAAGACGAAATATTATTTAGCAAATTAATATTGCCACTAAAAGCGTAACGTATCATTAACACTTCCTTTTTGATTTCACTTAACGAGAGCTTTTTCGTTTTCGAGTATTATTATATGGATCTGGTTACCTTGTCTCACATAAAACAGATAACATGTTTGAAGTTTATTTAATATTATAATTACACATTGTTATAAAATATTATGATTGATTCACAATAGGTACTTATTTTGAATATATTGTATAAAAATTGTAGTGTAAACTTATAAGGTATAAAGTATTACAAGTATTACTAATAGTCATTAGGGATAATATAATTTGTTGCACTATTATAACTACATTTTCATTACTGTAAATATCGTGAATAAAACGTCAGAAAAAAAGGATTTAATTCAATTAAAAGTTTTAATCATGACATAATCCAAACAGAATTCGAAACTTATACATTTTTATTGACCATATTAAAACAGAATAACTAATGGACATTTTATTTGAAACACCTCTGACCTATATTTTACATGAGCTTAATTTGTAAAGTTTAAATTAGAATACAACCTTTGATCACAACTTTTCTCCAGTCTTTTTTTTTAGTTGTCTGGCCACCATTGGGTCAGTTGTAGATATCTCATAAGATTAATTTTGAATTTTTATATTATAATACGCAATAATTATTCTGTTAACACGGCGCTCTGAACAGGCAATTTAGCTACACCACTCGTGCGAGTTGATTGATTACCTAACTTGTTGTTGAAACCGGTTTTTCCTCGAGGCTAAAGTAGTTTGAACGACTGGACTCTGGACACCTGTTACACATAAACCACTGTTCAATTGGACTCCGCTGATATAGCATGATAAATAAAATACAATGACACCAGGGACGCGTTATTTGTCAAAATTCCTTTAATTTCTTCAACGTAGTGTCAACCAATAATTGTTTAACTTATTTATGCTCATACAATGTAAATAAACCGTATCGTTACAATTATTATTAATGCGTTGGTACAAAATCTAAACAACTACTTGGTCTCGGTTATGCACATATTATTTTACGTATAATACATAGGTTAAGTGAATTTAATAACATGATGAGAGTATGATTAAACAGTATGCTGTTACGTGCTCTCATAAATTAAGATAAAAATATATATTTGAGTCTGTGTAAGATAAAGAGAAGATGTTAGGTTACGTCGTTATGAAAAATAAACATCAACTGCTTTCATTTTAGTGGTAATCGTTACACTTTAATATAATTTTTTTAAATTTTCTACAATATTGGTTTTGTAATATAAAGTACACAATATTATGTAAAATGAAACAAAACACAATTACGACTTTTCCTCATATAAAAAAAACATATTAGCACAACGTGTTGTGTTATTTTATGTTTAGAATATTCTATACCATTTTAAAGAGATAGATAAATTATGTATGATATTAAGTTCTTAACTATCCAGTACCATAACGATAAGTAAAATATTTATTCAATCTATATTGTAATAGTATACATGACGTATAAAACTTAATTTATTATTTTTTAAGTGATGAAATTTGAAACAATAGAAACTCTATATCGTCCTCAGCTGTGGCTTTGCATTATATTAAGAGCAATTTTATGAATGTGGGCTTTTTTTTTAATATATAAATCAGTTAGTTTTATACATTATTTTTAAAACTGACAAGTTTGAACAGTATGACTTTTTGTATGAAAAGGGTTTGAAAAATATTGAAACTAGTATAATTTTGATATTATAATAACCCAATAACTGATAAATAAGTGGGTATTTACTATTGATCAACAACATAATGAAAATAAGATTGGCTGTTGTTTAATCAACCATATAACATCGCCGGTCTTGAGTCTCGCATAAAATAGTGTTCAATCGAACGAAAGTCTTTCCACGTCCTTTTAAACACCAACAGCTAGTATTTTCTACTATTATACCGAGTTTATGAAAAAAAAATTGTATTTCAATAAAAGCTTAAAATGGTACTTGGATGATTGCACTCGTAAAAAATTGTAATACTCCACGGTAGTATCAAAGGGCCAGCTGTTATATTATATGCTGTAAAATACCTGATAATTATATTTTATATCGATGGATGGATGGATGGATGGATCGATCGATTTAATAAACTTTTATAATAGTAATAGTTCAGATTGCTCGAAATTAAGAGTTGTTCAACACGGTTATTGCAATAAAATATTATATGATATCATACCCGACATAACTGTCCATTTTATATGCATATTAAACTGCATAAAACTCTACGTGCATGCCACCCAGAACTATTCTCATCGTATAATGATACGTACACGATACGTTTGTTTATTGCGTGCAGCAGTCAGTGATGTATAATTCTCGGGTGGAGTGCATTAAGGAAGCTTATTGTGGTCGTGTCCTGGACTGCGAGCGAAACGACGAGGAATGTAAATTGGTTTTACAATAATTTAATCGAGATTACTGGCGTTCTTCGACATTTTTCTACGATTCTGGGTTTAGGTTTTCCTCACAAACCTACTGAGGAGTAATGACTGCACGGGGACATAACATCTGCGACGTAAACATACCTCGTCGAGGTCAGTGATGTGTGTTTCCACTTAGACGTTATACATGGTGACAGAAATACAGTTCGATTATTTATTTTTATTTTTCGCTACCTAACTCTATAATCTTTGCTTGAGATTATTTTATGTATTTTCAATTTGCAGTGCGCTATTTTTAGGAAAGCGACGGGTGAAACATTTAACCTTGTATTTAAATATTGGCGATAGAATATTATAGATCATAAAGACCACGATCTGCCCAGAACTGAGACCAGTGGCGACTCGTAGGTAAAATATTTGGTGGTGCACACAGTGACGGACTCGTGATGTTTAAAGTGATGGTGTGCAACTGTTCCGAAATTCTTTTAAAAAAATTTTAGTCAAGTCCAATTAGAATAAATAGAGTTTAACAGATAACATTTTTTTCACCCTTTTTCAATACCCAGCGCACACCTAGACACCTAGGCACGAGCCGCCACTGGCTCAGACTCGATTTGTGTGGGGTACCTAAGTACAACTTTTCGAGCGATCCTGCGTTCGACGTCTAAGCGAAAAGCGTTCAAAGCAAGAGGGGGGGGGGGAGAGATAATAACAATAATTACAAACACCTGCAACATATACACACACTCGTCATTACGGTTAATTCGACGGGAACATCCTTCGCGCTTCGGCCAGAAAGAAGATAAAAAATAAAAATCGAATGAATAAAAACGATTGCTAGCGAGAATATCGCTCGCGGAACGGTAACACTATATGGTGGCCGCCTGGCCGAGCCGCCTATGTAAACATATACATATTATATACGGATAGATATATATTATATTGTGATGTAGCGTGTAAAAAAAGAGAAAAGCAACGACGGAGGTGTCGTCCCCCCGCAGCCTGGGGGCCCCGGAGGGGTGGTTGTAGAGCGACGGCCTGTTAGGGGTTGGTCGAAGGGTACCGCGGGGTTGGGGGGTGGCGGCGGCGGCGGCGGCGGCGAAGGATATACGGCAGCGGAACCGCCCGGGAGTTCCGCAAAACCGAAAACGTACGCACGCCACACGGTCGCCGAGCGCCACGCCGTACGGACGTTTTACCCGCCGAACCGGACGTTCACCCTTCACGTCGTATCAGCACCGCTGATATTAATCGTAACGATAATAATATATATGCGCCCGTGCACATTATAATATATTATATATATATATATTTTTTGTTTATTATTTGTTACATTGTGCACGTTTCGAGCTGTCCACACGTACAGTGACGTAAACGTTGCGAACGACTATTGTGTGTTTATATCACATAAAGTGTTGTCCCGAGACTCAGCAACAGGTACCTGTCCAAAAATATATCAGCGGTAAGTAACTACATTGTCGAGAATAGACTGCACAAAGAGACAAATATTGTGTCCCTATTTAATAATAATAATACATGTCTACTATCATACCAAAACTATAGCATAACGGTCATATCTACTCGCAGTATTTCCGTATCGCAGTGCGACGACCCATATATGGTGCACAAGCGGTACACCTGTATAATATCGCGACAACTTACTGTTTTGGAATATATAAATTAATATATTATTAAGTGGGCACTAAGTGGGTTCTTCCCCCCCCCCAAATTTGTAGGAACTCTATAATATTATATTTTATGGTATAATCTATACGTATTATAGGTACACCACCTGCAGCACTGCAGCGGTGTTGCTCTGCACAGACTATCAATCCGGACGAACGACGATGATATCGTCTTTGGCGGCCGGGTAACCCTGTGGTATCGCCGGTATCCGGTGTGGTATCATTACTAACGCTCATCGACCGAGTTCACAACAATAACATACCACCGCAGCAGAAGAGGACCGAGGGCAGTGGATTTGGATCGTCGAAGAGTGTGGGACGAGCAGTAGGTCAAAGATGGTCATCGAACCGGGCCTGATGGACATGCTGGGAAACTCGCTGTTCGACATGCTGGCGCCGGTCACGTCCACCGATTCGTCGGCCGTAGCGTCCACCGTGTCGTCGCACGGTTCCGGCGACGGTTCTGGAAGTCGTGGCGACGGTTCCGGTACGTCCGTCGACGACGACGAGGACGACGGTTCCGGGATGGGCGGTGGTTCCGGGGCAGGCGGTTCTGGTGGCATCGGTCCCGGCGAGCTATGGTACAGGCACAGCCCCGCCATGACGGCCGTTTACTGTTTCGCGTACACCATGGTGTTCCTGGTCGGGCTGGTCGGCAACCTGCTGGTGGTGTCCGTGGTCTGCCGGTCGCCCAGGATGCGCAACGTCACCAACTATTTCATCGTCAACCTGGCAGTGGCCGACATACTGGTGCTTGTCTTCTGCCTGCCGGCCACGCTCCTGTCCAACATCTATGTCCGTGAGTCCTCTCTGCTAAATTCAATCCGATTTGCGCGTTTTCGTTTGTGAATAATAAATCGTATTAAGATTTTATTTTTTAATATTTTACGCGCGTCCTGTTTACTCGCAGATGTATGTGGTATTATGAGTGTAGTGCCTTGTACACCTGCGTACGATGTTGTTAAGACCCGTAAGGACGTGATCAGAAAACGCCAACCGGTGGAGGGGGGGGGGGGAGACGCGGCGCGAGTATCTTGTCTTTTTCTCCGACGAAAATCCCTCTCCCCGTCACGCGTACGAGGGTGAGGTATTAGGGTCAACGATTTTTTGTTTGACTTATTTAAATCCGGAGACCGATTTATAAGATTTGATAACCTTACCTAGAAAAATATAAATTCCAGTCTATAGTCTTGACGAAAAAAAACATTAAGGATGTACCACTAATTGTACACAAAGTAAAGACGTTCCGCAACGTACCTACAACATAATTGTATATATTACAATATTTAATACAAAACAAATGTTCTCGGAACGTAATACACAGACGAAACTAGAATATTCGATATGCTAATAATAATGCTAATGTACCTCTTAAGTATATAAGCTGGTGAGTTGAGAGAAAACCATTCCCAATGATCAATAGAATATTAAAATAAAGTGTATCAATAATTATTATAGAAACGTTTGATGCAATTCTGTTTTGCACAATTTAGTGGAGATTGTGAAGGTTCGTGATAGGGTTCGTTCGGGTCAATCGACAGAATAATAGAATTGTTAAAGGTTTTAATGAATTCCTTCTTCGAACGAGATTCATATATTATATTTTAAATACAATTTAGTTCCCTATACAAAATCTAGAAAGCAAGATAGAAAATTCATGTTTGTCTATGAAAATCAGACTCTGTTTAAACTGTTAACTCAATTTTCAGGTACTCGTAATATAATGTCCTATAAAAAAAACAAAAAACTTTACTATGAAGCTCATTTGCTGTCGTGTGTAGTCGTATCGTTTGGGAGGGAGGTTCGGCAAAGTGAGGCCCCATAAGTATACATTACCACGTCGATTCGACCAATTGCAAGTTTAGAATATTATGTGCAAAGTACAAAGCCCATAGTGAATTTTGTTCGATTACGCTTAACATAGATTCTAGTGGTAATAAACAATGACTGGAATGATCGGAAAAGCGTTAATATGGCTTTAAATACCGTCGCTTACTAATTAAAGTACAACGTAATTGATTAATATATGTGGAACTTTGGGTGTTTTAAGCACACGTAATTATGAGTAGAACGGTCCTGATTAATTTTGGTAAACTCTATCTTTGCGTACGCGTCGTTAATTTAAAATCTCAGTTTGCGTACCTATGTATTAATACATACGTTAAAATAAATGATGATGTTGCCACTCGTCCGTTAGTAATTACTAATTACCAAGTAAATTTAATTTGTTTTTACAATATTATTACTTTAACTAAAACAAGTAATTTGTTATGTAGCGGACGACTGACAACGGTTGACTGATCACTGATACCTATGCATATGTATGTGCCACTTTTGTTTAATTTATTTATCGATAAAACCAATTTTCGATTTATAACCCGTGAAAACGAAACTGAAACCATTAATAACGCGAATGGCTAATCCAAAAACAACTATTTTCAACGTATCTAATATTTATTGTAAAAAATAAAACAAAAGCCTTCTTTCTTTTTATTGTGTGCTTTCAATGTCGGTTGTAAAACGATTACGGTGCACGCGGGACGGGAGTTAAAATGGTTAGTTTTCAATTAAATTCAAACGTTAAGAATTTACAATAATAATAAGTATATCGCATAAAAAAAATAATATTATCTCTTAGCCGCTGTCAGCCTTCGGTGAAAGCATTTAATTATTATATTATTGTCTCACAATGTCATTTAAATACAATCAAGACGGACACAGTACGGTTAGGTTAGGTTATGTTCAAAGCATACGTATTTTACAGTCAACTCAAGGACTACTTGTTCGGCGGCAGTGGCGTCATTTGGGCCACGCGAAGTTTACATTTGGCCACTTAAAATTCGAACTACATATATAGTTATGTTTAAAGACCTCTATCTTTTAATGTTTTATGTTGGGTCCATTAAAGCTCGGTGGTAAAATTGCCTAACCACCCTGCCGCGCAAATCGAGTTTCCGATAATTTCTCATTTTGCTACAACCCATAATAATATGAAACTTATTATTATTGTTTTTTTTTTTTTTTTGTTTTGACGCAATCAAATCCGTTTTTTCAAAGTGATTATGTATTTGTGAACTGCTATTTCTTAATGTTTCTACACTTGCGTTACGATTTAACCCACATTCAATCACGCTCGATTTTTAATGATCTGGTCGCCAGCCTGCTGTATAGCAAGTGCCTTTATCCGAATATTCATTGATATAACACTGCCAATCTACTAAAATAAATTGCCCAACCTAACCTGTTATTACCATTATTATTACCATACATATTTTATACATAACGTATCCGGTCGATCGCTGTACGTATCATATATCTATGGTTAGTCGTTACAGTTTATTACTGTAATTATTATGAAATTGTAATCTAACAAAATATGTTCGGTACAAGCGTGAAATACTCGTTATTGTAGACGTGAATGACGCAAAATGCTAAAATATTCAAAGTCGGTAGTCCAAATTGCACCTGAGCCACAAAAAGCGATGCGGTTTCGAACGTAATAATTCCAAATTAGATTCTTTAATTTCATTCGATGGCATTTTGAATTTTTTTTAACATTGTCAACGACGATGAGAAAAAAAGTATTGTTATTTCTGAAGTTAATTAGTGTCTTTTTGCCAAGGTCATATACAATATTATAGTGCCGTGCCGTAAATTTAAACGTAATTTAAAATTCGTAAAAATATTTCAATCCTAATTATAGATAATTTCTCCATATTTTCAGATGATTATAATTATTATTGCGTCTGTTCTATAATAATTAGTGAGATACTTAATTGCTATAATTCATCTACAGTTATATAATATTATTTAAAAACGTTGAGTTTATCTGATTTTCTGAATTTACAGAATAACGGAATTCAGTATTTGTATAGAATGCACAATGCACACTGTACACATTTTTGTTTATTAGTGGATCTATCGCATATCTGCTTCGGAATATCGATTGGGTGTACCGTCAATTTATCGTAAGCAATTGACCGCGCGACAATTGATCGTAAACTATTGATCGCAAGCCAATTGACCGCAATTACAATTGACCGCACGACAATTGATCGCAAAAATAGCTTTAAGTTATTTCATAGTGCAAGGTGAATAGGAATTTTTCGTAATATTATTCGATGGACATAACGTACTGACACAATCCCAATCAGTATGCTAATAACTTCGTGCAGCTGAAGTATTGTTCATAGATTATGGCTTTAGAGTACGTATTAAGCGAAAAAAATAAGTATTTACTTATTTATCAAGGTTTTTTACACGTAAAAGAACGAGAACATGAAAATAAAATATATTGGAAATGTTCAGAATACAAAAAAAATCACTGTAAAGGTCGTGTACACGTAATAGACGAAAAAGTCACCAAATATATTGAACATAATAATCACGTTCCAAATGCAGCAAAAATCGAAGCAAAAAAAGTTATTTCAATTTTAAAGAAAAATGCATCACAAACAACTCTCAGCACACATTCAGTTTTAGGAAACACAGTTATGCAGGTAATTCATATTTTAGTGGCATAGAAATGGATAAAATATTAATTATGAAAATTAAACTAAATTAGGTAACAAGTGCAGTTTCCGCGGAAATGTCGAGTGTTAATACCTTGAAAAGGACAATTCAACGTTTGCGCCAAAAGGAGGAAGCTGCACCGGCTAATCCAAGTAATTTTGAATTTATTATACCAGATCAATATAGGTATAACTCTAATGGCGAATTATTTTTAAAATTCGATAGTGGTCCTACTGAATCTCGTATTTTAATATTTACAACTCAACAAAATTTAGATTTTATGAGCGAATGTGATAATTGGTTTTGCGACGGAACATTTTCAGTGGCACCCCCTATTTTTTCTCAGTTATATACTATACACGGGGTGTATTATTCCAACGTTATTCCTAGTGTTTACATATTACTGCCAGATAAAAAAGAAAAAACTTACCGTCACATGTTTGAAATTTTAAAATCACTGAAACCAAATTTAAATCCAAAAAGTATTATGATAGATTATGAAAGAGCAGCTTTAAATGCTATCGAAATGGAGTTTTGTGATACAGAGATAAAAGGTTGTTTTTTTCATATGTCGCAATGCATTTGGCGTCATGTACAAGAATTGGGCCTACAGACAACTTATCGAAATGATCCAGAGTTATCATTAAGAATTCGAATGCTACCCGCATTAGCATTTATTCCAGAAGCAGATGTAATTAAATGTTATGATGCACTACTAGCTACAAGTTACTACACAGATAATGAGGATCTACTGGCGCCGCTGTTGGATTATTTCGAGAATACATGGGTAGGAAAATTAGATAGGAGAGGAAAAAGAAAACCACCAAAATATGCAATCACATTATGGAATTGTTTTTCGAGAGTAATCCAAGATTTAGCTACAACAAATAATGCTATAGAAGGGTGGCACAATTGTTTCACATCACTTATAAATGGTAAGCATCCTTCAATTTGGCGGTTTATAGATGCATTAAAAAAAGAAGAGAGCATAAACAGATTCAAAATCGAGCAGTAAGTAGGTGGCAATGAGCCTCCAAAAAAAAAAAATTTACCGAGATAGAGCGGCTAAAATCAAAAAAATATGTACCAATTATAGCAATTATACAAATATTGAAGATTTTCTTCGTGGCATTGCATACAATTTTCAATTGCAAGTTTAATATTTAGTGTTTAATTCTTATATATTATACGTGACCTACCTTAATGTATTTATTATTATTATTATTATTTTTTTTTTTTTTCATTAGATAACCCGCGGCAACAAAGGCCATTGGGTGACATATTTAT